TAAACCCCGAAAAAGTCAAAATGGAATAAAAATAAAACTGGAAAATAAGAAACTTTGACACCTCAACATGAGGAATGCTGCTACAGATTTCTTTGTATTACGTCTGACATGTACGTTAGCCATCTTTACCAGCTGTCACAAAAATCTCTATTAATGTGTATATTCATGTGTGTGTTTCTTTTTTGTGACAGGTACCAAATATATTCAATGTATGCCGTGGCCGCAAGTATTCCGAAGTATGGAAGCAGTGTCTCTTATGACCTAAGAAGGGTGCTGACAAACCAACGGATACAATTCAATGACGTCCCCATCACCATCCCCAGGAGATTTGTGGTAGCCCCAATAAAACCTATAACCGATAACAATGGGAAATATCTATATACTGAACATGCAGAGTGGCGTCTTCTGCAGAATCTAAATCTTGAAGGTCAGGATGGTGATTTGTTGGTCTTCTTCTCTTACGCTACTCCATGTTTAACAAGCTGTGCAGATCCAAATGGAAACTACAAGATCACTGATTTGATTCAAAATCTCTTTACTGAACACGAGTGGGGAGCAAAGGCATTTGTGTTTGAAGTTATATTCAAGCCAGGTGGGGAGGACAGTGATCCAGATGAAACAAAACGCAGTACAACAGAGGCCCTGACAAATATTGGGAACTTCATTGGCTCTGAAAACATATTTCGCTGTTACAAACCTGTTAATCGTAATTACATTTGCATTAAATGCTTCAATGATGGTGGGATTGTCCCAACGTGTATCTCATAATGCACCAACTCATTATGCAACAAGGAATTAAAAAAAAAAAAAAATCAAAAAAATGTGGTTAAATCCTTGCTGAACATTATTAATGATTCATTTTCATTTTAAAAGCTCCGCTCGCGCTCTACTCATTCACTTTCTACCTCTAACATGGAATTTACTGTCGGAGTGATAACTCAGCAATTTAAGGTCCAGCTAGGTTTATATTTGTCTTTTGCCAACTGATACAAACATAAATCGCTGTTTTTATTCTCATTTTTAAACTAATGCAGCTCAGTTTAGAGGGAATCGTCCCAAAACCTCTGACGATAATCGTGTTACTGATTTGACTGTAACAAACTCACTGTCGAATGACTCGAGTCGAATCGAATTTTACTGCTTAAACAGGCAGAGCCATGAATCCCAGTGAACCTGGAGAGCACCATTTATGTGCTTTTTCACTCACTGTTCATGTCTATTTGAATCCCAGAGGATTAGAGCAAGCAACTAGAAACTAAGTACATACATAAGACTCACCTTCAACATTACACATGATTAGTAAACATTATCAAACATAATTTGTTTTGTTAACAGTAGATTATTTACTAAAAGTTAATCACCCATCAGTTTACAATTTATTAAGAATAATTGTTGTGAAGTGTTACTTTTGATGTGTTTGTTGGTGCTTTTATTTTGAATGTTTGCAGCTTCACTTTGAGTGACACCTGGAACTGAACCTGTAACGTCCATGTTA